CCCTACAAAGAGTACTAAAAGGTATTCTAGAAAGAGACCAAAATGACCACAATTTCAACAACAATACAAAGGAACCACCAAGCAGAGCAAGCAATTAGACAGAAGAAAAAAGGAGCAAATAGCAGGAAAATAACATGACAAAGATAAGCCAACATATATCCATTATAACCACCAATGTAAACAGTCTCAATTAATCAATCAAAAGAAGCAGAATGGCAGAATAAACAAACAAAACCCAACAATATTTTGTATACAAGAAAGACATTGAACTCAAAAGGAAGTTCAAAGACTAAAAGTCAAAGGATGGAAAACAATACTCCATGTGACAGGAACCCAGAAAAAAAGTAGGGGTAGCTATTTTATTTGCAGACAAAGTGAACTTCAAACCAAAAATGATCAAAAGAAATAAAGAAGGTCACTATATACTTGTCAGGGAAAAACAGCAAGAGGAAGAGGTAATAATCATAAATATCTATGCACCAAATACAGGAGGATCACTAACTATAGAAGACAAATTTTAACAGACGTGAAAAATCAAATAAGCAGTACCACAATCATAACAGGGGACTTTAACACCTGTTAAAGTCCTAGATCAACTAGAAAAAAAAAAATCAGCAAAGAAATAACAGAACTAAACCAAACTTGTGAACAAATGGACTCAGTAGACGTTTAGAGAATGTTCCATCCAACAACATCAGAATACACATTCTTCTCAGCTGCACACAGGATGTTCTCTAAAATAGACCATCTACTAGCACACAGAATATTCTTAAGTAAATTTAAAGGAATTGAAATTATCCCATGAATACTATCAACCATATTGCAATGACATTGGAAATTAATGACAAAAGAAATTGCAAAAACTCTATAAACACATGGCAATTGAATAACACTCTCCCGAACAACCAATGGGTCACAGATGAAGTTAAAGAAGAAATTAAACAATATTTACAATCAAATGAAAATACAGATACAACTTACCAGAACCTGTGGGACTCAATGAAAGCAGTCCTCAAAGGGAAATTTATTGCGGTGAATTCCCACATCAGGAAAACAGAATGAGCACAAATAAACAATCTTAGGTTGCACCTCAAGCTTCTAGAAAAAGAAGAGCAGGTCAAGCCCAAAGCCCAAAGAAGGCAGGAAATTATAAAGTTCCAAGCAAAAATTAATGCAATGGAGACTAAGAAAACAATACAAAGAATTAAGAAATCAAAGAGTTGGTTCTTATCAATAAAATTGATAAATCTCTAACCAACCTTATCAAAAAATGGAAAGAAAAAACTGAAATACATGCAATAAGGAATGAAAGGGATGAAATCACTACAGATTCTGTAGAAATTTAGAAGATCATCAATACCTACTTTGAAAATCTTTACTCTCATAAGATAGAAAGCACAGAAGAAATGGACAGATTCCTAGACAAACATGAATTACCAAAGCTGAATCAAGAAGATATAAAAATTCTGAATAACTCAGTATCAGCCAACAAAATTGAAAATGTAATAAAAAACTTACCGACAAAGAAAAGCCCAGGTCCTGATGGATTCATGGCTGAATTCTACAAGAAATTTAGAGAAGATTTAACGCCAATTCTTCTCAAACTCTTTAATGAAATTGAAAGGGAAAGAATTCTCTATAAATCATTCCTAGAGTCAAGTATTACCCTGATACTAAAACCAGAGAAAGACCCAACCAAAAAAGGGAACTACAGGCCAATCTCCCTAATAAATATAGATGTAAAAATTCTCAATAAAATACTAGCAAACAGAAAGCAGCAAATCATTAAGAAGATTATACATCATGACCAAGTGGGATTCATCCCAAGACAGGAATGGTTCAATACACACAAATCAATTACTGTAATATACCATATCAATAGAATCAAAGACAAAAATTACATGATTATCTCAATAGATGCAGAAAAAGCTTTTGATAAAGTCCAACACTAATTCATGATAAAAATCCAACAGAAAATTGGAATAGATGGTCTTTATCTCACTCTGATAAAAGCCATCTATGACAAACCAATGGCTAACACCATACTAAATGGACAAAAAGTGAAAGCTTTCACTTTAAAGTCAGAAACAAGACAAGGATGTCCACTGTCACCACTCCTATTCAATAGAGATCTACAAGTATTAGCCAGGGCAATTAGACAAGAGAGAGAAATAAAAGGAACAAGGATAGGAAAGGAAGAAGTGAAATTATCATTATATGCAGATGACATGATACTCTACACAGAAGACGACAGAAACTCCACCAAAAGGCTTATAGATTTAATAATCAAATTCAGTCATGTAGCTGGATACAAAGTCAACACTCAAAGATCAATAGCATTCCTGTACACAAACAACAAACAGACTGAGAGAGAAAATAGTGAAACCACACCTTTCATAATAGCATCTAAAAAAATGCAATACTTAGGAATCAATCTAACGAAGTAAAAGATCTATGCGTTAAAATCACAGTACTATGAAAAAAGAGATTAAGATGATTTCAGAAAATGGAAAGATATTCCTTGCTCATGGAGAGGAAGAACCAACATTGTGGAAATAGCCATACTCCCAAAATTGTTGTACAGATTCAATGCATTCCAAATTAAAATACCATTAATATACCTCACAGATCTAGGGAAAACATTCCTAAAATTCAGGGCACTATGGTTGACTATCCTTGAAGCCAAGCCCAGTATTTTGAACTTGAGCCTATAATCACCAGGAAGCCATCCAAGGCTTTTAGATAGGGATAGATGTGATGGAGACTGACATTAAAAGATAATACTGGTTTGAAAGACAAAGGACTAGAAAAGTACAGACCAGTAGAGACTGAGGACTCCTGGAAAGCTGAAGAGAAAGTTACATGGCCAAATACACTCATGTCAAGGCACACTGCTAAGACAGGACAACAGGTTTTGGTGACAACAGGTTTTCTCTTCCCTGTATATAGGGAAGAGAAGAAAAACAGGAAGGCATTGAGGCTGACAGAGGATTTTTTGTTTTGTTTTGGGTGGAGGGGTGAGAAAGGGTCTCACTCTGTAATTCAGGCTGGTCTTGGACTCACTATGTAACCCAGGCTGGACTCCAACTCATGGCAGTCCTCCTGCCTCGGTTTCCTGAGTGCTCAGATTACAGGTGTAATTACTCGGATTACTCGGATTACATGCCCGGCAGGCTGACAGATTTCTAGTTTAGGCAGATGGGTGAAAAGCTCTGCCATTACCAGAGACAGGACCAGATGGATGCATAACTTCAGGGGAGGAAGGCAAGAAATCTAGTTCTGTACTGTGAAACCTACAGGACATACAGGGGAGCTAGGGAGGACACTGGAAATGGAGGCGTGGAGCTGAAGGAAGGCTCAGTCTGGGGGCTCAGACCCACATTCTCCCAGTGAAGAGAAGCTGGCCCTCTGGTAGTGTATTGAAGATGTTTAGACTGAAATCAAAGCCACCACAGGCTGTATTACTCACACCTGTGTTCAATTTCTGTGTTTGATGCTTTGGTATCTGAGGCCTTGCTGACCTGGAGGACTGGCCTTCCCAGGGTGAGCCAGTTCCTAGAGATGGTAAACAATTTACCTGCTGTCGACCCTCCACATACAAACCAACCAATCCAGACCCCAGACCCCACCCACCATCTCCACCAGCTCTCCACTCTGGGTCCCTACACACCTGGCCTAATCACCCCAGAGCCAGGTACCAGACTTTGGGGAGAGCCCTTTACCCCAGAGAGCACCAAATGATTCAAAGCAGCCAACCTAAGTCTCCTTGCCTGCTTTGCTTCTTCCTTCCCACGGAAATCATAGTCAAGGTTCCTGCCCACAGTTCCCTTTTTTCTCCCTCATATTCAAGCTGGGTGCTTCGCTGTGTAGCCTGCCCCTTTCTCTTGGGAACTTTAACACGCCAAGTTTGCAATGGCAGTCACGTACTCATCTGTTGGTCTTACTATACCACAGATCTGCAAATACGTTCTATTTTAAAGTACCTGTGCATGTGAGAGCATTCGGCAACTAAAGCCAGGAGCCACAGTGCAGGTCTAACTGGGCACTCAGTACCTGTGATCGCGGGCAAGTGACTTTGTCTAGGACTTGTGAGCTCTGCCTTCTGTGACTTACATGGCTGCTAGTAAGATCCAGTGAGTCAGACACCATAGACATTTGTGATTATAAGAAAGGGAAGAATACAGCTCATCTCTTTATTCCATGAAGATAGAGTTGGCAGATTGAGGCTTTCTGCAAGTGTTTTATAAATAGATCTTTATAAATTGACCTTGACCCTTGTATGGTAGTATACAAGGGAAGCCAATATTCTAATCTCTAGCATACATGTTTATCTGTCTTGGACAGGTGCCTCAATTAATAAGCTGTTAATAAGTCAGTAGGTACATTTTACCATAGTACAGTACCTACATTTACAGAGAAATTTATTTTTACCTTTGTATGCTACCCACAGTGCTCATCCCATTTATCCCTAGAAGAAGTGGTAGTAGGTAAATATGCTGAGCATTTACTCTTTGTAAGTAATTATCCTAAATGCCTGATCTGCAGTTATCTGTATACATGAGACAACCTGATAAGTACTTCCTTATCTTACATGACAGATGTTTAGAGTCAGGGCATCAATAAATAGCAAAAATTCACACTAAAGAAGTGTAACTCTGGAGCTCAAACTACCTAGAAAAATAAATACAAACACTGCTGTTAAAAAGCAAGATGCTATGTGATATTTCTGTCTAATATTAAAGTATACTTTTTTTCCAACAAGAATATAAGATTACTGATCTATGCAATTTTATAGTAAACTAAATGAAAGAAGCAGGCAGTTTTCTATTCTTAATTCCCAAATGCAAGTGGATTCTGCACAAGTAAAAACTTAGTCATCCTAGGATGCTCTGCTTTATAGAATTTCCACATCCCTAACTCCCACTCCCTTGTTTTCTCCCCTAAACACTCCAGGTGCTCAGCAGGGCCTTATCTGTTTAAGAAACTCTCTGTGCTTCCCAGAGACTTACCCTTAAAACTTGGTGCTCCTAAAGTCACAGATTGGGTACAGTAAAAACGATGGTATAAGGGAAATAAGCACTATCTTTTCCACTTAATTTTCCAAGAAAGTATGAAGATACCTAAGCAGAGAGGGGAAAAATTCCAGTATCAATGTGGTTGATGGAAGACTAAAAGATCAACAAAACACAATTCCCTCTAGCCTGTAAAAATAGCCAGGCAATGAGCTTTGTCTCTCCTTGCAAAGGATGAAACAAATGAATGCAAATCAGTATGATCTATCCCACAAGAAACCTCCACACTGAGTCTTCTCTTCTGAAATACTAGTTCATCCCATCTTCCATATTTTAAAATTCTGTGGCCAGTGAAAAAAAAATCTCTATTGTGATAAAGCCAAATTCATCTCACTCTACTGCTTTTAAAAATATGTTATCAAGCCCATGCTAACGAATTCGAGTTGAGTTAGACATGTTTTGCCTATTTATTTGGTGAAACAAAGACCAGCCGGTCTTCATTCATTTTTTAAAAAGGCTATTTCACTTGATCTTAAATATCCTTATGTCATAAAAAGTCACTGCAAAAATTCTTATATGAAGTGATTAACGGATGTTTTAGAATACTTACAATAGCAATTAATTGGAATTTAGTGGGACTCTTGCTTGAATAAAAACTCTACTATAGATAACCAATAATCCAAGTTCTTAAAAAGGAGTTTTGAAATGCATATCTCAGCTTTGCCCTTTATTGTCATTAGCACTTCCTGGAAAAGGAGAAAGCTTAGCCCAACAGTTTTCAAACCAGCTCAATTTTGCTAATTCCACAATGCATAGCCTGCCAAAGTCGGAATTAACTTCCTTCCTCAGCCTCCACAAACTCCCACTACTCCCCAGATGATAGAGCAGACAGACACGGCATCAACACTAGACAGCGGCCGACTGTCAGAAAGAAAGATGACACATTCCCACTTCCTGTCTGCTCAGGAAGCACAGGAAAGGAGTGGGGCGATCATGTCTACATACCCGAAGTGAAGTATTTTCATATGGGAACCTGCTGAATTCTATCTTTTACAACAAAATCAGTAGTTTGGGTGGATTACGATCATTTACCACAGTTCAATGCGGGGAGGAGGAGGTTGGTCAAAATTCTTTGGAAAGAGGATCTTGCACCTTTTGGATACATGAAAAGCAGCTGGCAAGCAGCCACTTGTCCAGAGAACCTCCTAGTCTCTGTGAAATAAAATATTAAGTCTTTCAACCTAAAACTTTACTAGATGGAGACAGGAAATCACAAATAAAAATTTAAAAAGTAAGTCTTTACTTTCCCCATTCTTTTCCCACTGAAAGTACAGCTGGCCCTCTCTGTGCTTGGGTTCTACATCCTCACACTCAACTGATCACAGACTAAAAGCATTTGGGAAGAAAACGTATTTGTACTGAACATGGACAGATTTTCTTCCTTGTCAACAGTTCCTACACTACACATATAACAGAACAACTCTTTATAGAGCATTTACCTTGCACGAGGTATTATCAATCATTAAGACATGATTTAAAATATGTGAGGGGATATTATAGGCAATGTGCAAATACTATGCCATCTTTTGTAAAAGATTTGAGTATCTTCAGATTCTGGCATCCACAGGGTGGGGGTGGGTCATGCAGCCAATCTTTCCATGGAAACTGAAGGATAACTGCGTATTTTTTCCCTTCTGAACTCCCCAAATCTAAGACTCAGCATCCCTTGGATGGCTAGGGGACAAGTGGGCAGCTACTAAGAAGTCCTGAAGGAGGCTTGCCTCACTCCAAGTAGCTCCACCTCCCCTCATCCAGTCAGCAGGGGCTGGTGGCAGGCGATATAAATAAATCCACTGCTTTTGGATTAACTGAGCCAGGGATAACATGTGTTTCTGAGAACTTTAATAGTCAGAAATCTGCTTAATACCAACACATAAGGCAGCAAAACTACTATGGAAAGAGACACTACACAGGACTGGATGTTGTATTAGACACGTGATGGTAATTAGCATGAGGTTTCTTTTTGGGGTAGTGAAAATACTCCAAAATTAGTGTGGTGATGAGTTACACAACTCTGACAAATCACTGAATGGGGGAGTTTTGAGGTTTGAAAATGATACATTACTACAACTCTTAAAAAATGGATCTGACACAATCTGTATCTTCAAAGAAGTCAGAATCTTTTGGAACAACCCAGGTGAATTTGTTACTAGCTGCATGTTCAATTCATGTCAAACTCAGATATCCTTAAAAGTTAAGATACTCAAAGTATTCAGATTACTCACATTTTTATTTGACCACTAGCAAAGAGAGTAAGAAGCCATTCAACTCCTGGCTGAGTAAAAATTAGTTGTCCTACCATGTCCTGCTCTATGAAATCTCTTCACCCCCAACCCTCATCCCCTGCATTCCTCCTAAACACACCATGTCCTCAGCAGGGCCTTATCTACTTAAAAAAAAAAAAAAAACTCTCTGTGCTTTCCAGAGACTTACTCTTAAAAAATTAGTGCTCCTAAAGTCACAGATTGAGAAACAGAAAAGCTTAGAATTCTTAAGGATCAAATAATAGTCACTGGTTGCTTAGTTTTTTTTATTATAAACTTTGCTACAGCACCATTGTCTCACATATGGTCGAAGGCAGGCTGTTAAATGACAAGTCTCGTATCTGACCCAGGAAGGAAAAGAGGAAACTCATCAAAGGCAGGCTTGGGATATCTTTTTCACTGTTTTTTTTTGTTGTTGTTTGTTTTGTTTTTTTTTGTACCAGGAATCAAACTCAGGACCTGGAACTTGCCAGGCAGACGCCTGTGCCACTGAGCTATATCCCCAACCCCTAGGGATATCTTTTTTAAAGCCATTGTGAGATACAGATGAACGACCTAGGAGTAGAGTGGTTTTCCCGCTACCTAGAACTGCTCTGGCTGGTATCTGTTATCCTAGCATAATTAGTAACAGCCTTCCTATTATTCTCAATCCTTTCCTGACCCAAAGAATGAACAGTATCTCACTGTGTGAGGAGAGCAAGCCTGTGAACAGCTGACAGTAATGCAGCACACATCAGGTCTGCCTTGGCACTGCCACTGGCTATCGATCAGAGAAAGGCCCAATAGCCAAAGGTAAGGCCTCCCTGGCCAGAGCTTATCCATAGAAGCAGAGAACAGCTCTAAGAGATTTGAGTTTAGTGCACACACTGAGAACCAACTGGGTGACTTCTCAAATGTTTGTGCCTGGCCCCTCCTTTGGAAACTCTGATATACATGCTCGATGAAGACAGCCTTGTCTTGTCCACGCCTACCTACATGGTTTGGGATGATGGAGAAGTAAAAGATCACTGTACTACACTCCTGTTAACTTGTCTGTAGTTTCAGACAGTGCAGCAGCCCCAGGTTCCAATTCCCCTGCTTGCCAAGACCCCAAGTCTCAAGTAGAGGCCTAGGCCAGGGCACAGCTACCCTTATCTGTGCCCTATAACCTCCCACTGCAGTACACTGCCATCCACCTCTGTTTTAGGCCTTTCAAGGGCCTGGCTGGCTTCCATGGACGTTAGCTTTGGATTCACGGCCCTGAGTTGTGGATGAGCTGTGGACGCTTAAGGAAAAAATGGATGGCATTAAATAGGCTTCAAACCTCAGCATACTGTTTTATAAAAGATCCCCAAATAGGCAATTTTCTCCTTGCCTTCATGAAAAAATACCTGCTCAGAGATAAGAAACTTTCCTATTTAGAGAATACTCCTCCATTTAGAGCTGAGAATGATATCACAAAGCTGTCCTCCCTTTTATGAGACTTTAGGGACCCATTACAGAATAAAACTATTTGGACTGCCAGGTCAAAAGTGGTTTAATCCCTAAAGGTGTTCCCTCCAGCAACTACAGGCCTGAGGCCTCGGATTATCCAAGATACAGAAACTGCTAGGCTCAGTTAGGTTTGATAAACTATGAGAGGAGAAGGCCGAAAACATTTGGGACGGGGGGCTTGTGTAAATGTTGTCTTTCTGTGGCGGCAGAAGAAGCCCATGGGAAAACACTGATAGATAATGCTGGCTCAAAGCTACTGTGGTTCCCTGTGCAAATGGATACCATAAGTCTAACCCTTACCTTGCCTATTAAATGGAATGTGTGTATAGCAAAACAATAGATTTACGTCTCTTTTGGCTCAGGGGAATTTACCTTAATGGAAAGTGTACTGAGTAATTATTTCTCTCCATTCCATACCCCACTGGTTCTATAATACCTCTTCCTCATTCTTATCCTAAATGGGTGTGTTTGTGAAAACTGGGGGCCAATGTGCTCAAATTGAAAGAAATTAGAAAAGCAGTGAAATGTATGTTTTTTGATCTGTTCATGCAGGAGATAAATGTTCTGGTTAACATGAACATAGTATGTTATCCTGGTTTCACATTTAAGAAGCACTTCAAGATTTCACAGTGACCTGGGGTCTTCTCAGTGATGAAATATATTAGGCCCACGGTAGCTAAAACAGCACTCTGAACACAGCTCTGGATAGGAGTTTCTCTTGGGTGTTCAGTGATATTTTCCAGCCAAGATGGATTAGGGATGTTCTGTCTAATGAGTTACCAAATTTGGAGAAAAGGGGGCCTCACACTTCCACTGCAGCTTGTGATAATGCCACTGGAGACCATGACAGTGTGGCAGGCACATGGAAGCTCGGAGAGCTGTCACCTGAGGGATGAGGCATGGCTCCTGCTACAGAGCTCTGGCAGCTGGCCAGCAAGTTTCACATGATAAGATGGTAAGTCACAATTCTCAAATGCAAACATTACAGTCTCCCTCATAAAAAGCTTACAGATTAAAAAAGAAAAAATTCAGTGTGGCCAACCAGGAAGAAAACCTAAAGCCTTGTGCATGAACATGAATACTTGGCTGGAAAAATCATGTTGCTGACTGCACTCACATATAAGATCTGACATAAGACCTCTGACTGCTATTTTCCAGGTGTTAGGTACACTTTGTCTTGATTTAAAGTGGCCTCTCTGGTTCCTGGTACTACAAAAATAAATATATGAATTTAAAACCCCAACAGGGTAAGTTTTATCTGCAATACTAAGCTCACATTTTGTGCAAAAACTAGTTTGCAACTGTTCATTCTCTGACTCTGTCCCTATTGGAAGAGGGCAAACTGCACAGGGACTCACCAATCAGAGCTCTGCAGCAAAAAAAAAAAAAAAAAATGAAAAATTTTTTAAAATTTTAGAAATCAATTACTGCATTTCTGTAGACTTCTCTTATTTAATAGATCCCCCCCCACTACTGTTTGAAGAGACTTATTTCATACTACAATGACAGACTTGTAAGAATTCACTTAAAAAAGTGATGGAGTCTTGGTTAATCCTAGCAGCCTCTCTGCAAAGCACATACATGATCTCGGAGAAAATGCTCCTTTTGGTTGCACATAACTGCAAATACACTAGGAACCAATGAACTGTACATTTTAAAGAAGTAAACTGAGTGGTCTGTGAATGCTATCTCAATAAAGCTGTTAAAATGTTCTGCTCTTATCAGGAAATTTTTTAACAACTTCTTAAAATTTTTTTTTATATTTTTTTTGGTACCGGGAATTGAACTCATGACCTTGCACTTGCCAGGCAGGTGCTTATACCACTGAGCTATATCCCTAGCCCCTTATCAGGAAAATTTCAAAAAAGGAAATTGCAAAAGAGAGAAAGTAATGTTTCTATTTTGCTGCATAAGTTGTGCCATTGATGTCACTCAGAAGAATCCCGTCTGTCTGGGAGGACTTTGCAAGGTTTGTGTAGATGCAGCTGAACTTGGCTTTGGGTTAGCACATCTACAGAGCCTGGGTCAGGAGTGAGGTCAGGGACTAGTGAGGCATTGCCAACTCACTTGGAACAGGGGCTGATCACAGTTGGTGTAGGTGGGTAAACCAAGGCCACATTCACTCTCTCGCTGCCATTCTTGGGGCAAATGATCTCTGCTACTCCTTCTGGTCTAGGCTGGCTCAGCAACTCCCCTGCAGGATGAAAAAGAAAAATGAATTAAGGCATGTGCCCTAAAACAGGACTGCTTTACACAGGGAAAAACAGTGCTTGAGGAGGGACAGCAAGGAAGAGGGGCAGGTAGTGGGCAACTGAGGGTCTATAGACACGAAGGCAGAGAAGAAATGTGCAACTAAAGCAGCAGAGTTGCCCAGGCTCGAATCCCTAGATCTATCTGCACCACGATGGAGAGGGTTTGATGCTGCCATGTTACGGCAGGAAGGCTGGTACTATGGATACGGCATCTGCCATGGTCTGCTCACATTTGTCAGAAACTGACTCCAGACAGGCTGGGCTGCCTAAGTGTTCATCATTAGGACTGGAGGCAGGTGGGCAATGGCAGAGCTAGCAGTCTCTCAACAAAGCCCTGCACGAAAGACGCAGACATACTCAGACTAAAGGTGTTAACAGGGTAAATAACGCTGAGCTGCCAGCCTTTTCCTGGCAAGGAAATTTCTTGGATAGATCTGAAAGCCTGCCTAGCTGAAAGTGCCAACAAGCACTCTCTTAAGACTAATGGGTTCTACTAAGAACAGATGATCAATTTAATGGATGAACACAATACCTAGAGGAAATGGGTTACTCTGCATGCCCCCAGTACGGTCTCTCCCCAGCTAAATCATAACTCCTTCAGAACAGCCATGACGTCTATTCCTTATCCTTCACCTGCACCTCCTACCCTGGCCCACTTTCCCCAGCACCCTGTCCTCCCTCTGTCCTGGGGGCTCAGAGAACACTCAAGAAACAGCTGCTGGATGACAATGCTATGTGCTTTTGCCTACACTGCTCCACTTAAACCCAGAAAGTAAATAAACCACACCAGGGACACAAAAAGACCACTGAATTTCAAACTTTAATTCTCAGTGGTCATCACTTCTATTGCTCATTTGAAATTCTAGAGACACCAAAGTACATGCTGGTAAATAATGATAAAATATTCCTTTGTACAAAACACTGCACTTAAATGACTCATCCTCAGCACGGTGCAGGAAGATGGAACATGCACTACGAAATTTAAATATGTATTTCAGTTCATCTTAATATGTGCCAATGTGGGCCTGTCCTCATGGCTAACTTCAGGGAGGTTAGGTGATGTTCCTACATGCAGGAGGTAACACGTGGCAGAATGGGAATGGGGATGCGGAAGTTCCTCTCTGGGCCCCTTACCCTTGCCACCAGCCTCTGGTATAGCCCCAAAGCAGGGTCTGCCTCACTAAGCCCCAACTCACCTTTCCTGGAGGAGCAATCTACAACCACTATTTTAAAACAATAAACTTAAGCACTAGCATATTTATATCTTTAAGAAAGGCATCCATTTCCTCACTGGAATATTTTATATGACTTTGCATAATACAAACTGAATGAATGTAATTTCAGTTCTTTCACTAGACAACTATAAACACCGAACTACTGCAAAAGTTAACTTACTGCCATTAGCTTATCTCATGCATGCATGGGTAGTAGAATTATAGTCCAATACCAGCTAGAAAAAGACCCTTAACTATACAATTCATGTGAAAAATGTAAACATCAAGTGTTGTCTAAGTAATAAGATGAACCCAAGTAACAGCATATTAAGAACAGATTGAGGGCTGGGGATTTAGCTCAGCGGCAAAAAGCGCCTGCCTGGCAAGCACAAGGTCGTGAGTTCGGTTCCCGGTACCGGAGAAAAACCAAAAAACAAAAAACAAAAAAAAAAGAACAGATTGAAAACTGGAAGCCTCCCATTCCGAACACCACTCCCAAAGTCAGCAGCTCCCTGAGTTTTAACAGATCTGATCCAAGGCCCATAACAGCTCTGCATCTTTCAACCACCTGCCCCACCATGTACCACAGCGCCAGGAGCACGAGACAGTGCTCTGAGCACTGGGGTCCGGCCTCCTCTCACCTGGTTCCTCACCCGGTATTTTCAACTTCTACGTCTGGTTCTAAACTCTTCCCCAAGGCATGAGCACGGACTGGCTTCTCTACTTTCCCCTGAAAAATCGGCCGCCTGGAATTTTACACATGCCTTGATTCCTTTTGCTTTCAGCTGCCTGGGTAACAAGGACAACTACTGCAGATGTCAAGCCCCTGGCCCTGGCATTGGCCTCACATAGCTGGCTTCTCTGAGGTAGCTTTTGGTGAGCAGATCATTTTTGCGGAGAAATGGAAATAATGTGCAGGAGATTCTTAAGCCTAGGATTCCAGTTTCTATTAAACTGATAGTTTTACTGCCCCTTCTCACAAAACCAGGTCACTGGTTTTGTTTGGGTCCCATCCCCAGCAGTGTGGCCAACTGTCTCCCAGTGGTTCATGTGTTGGAGGCCTGGTCCTTGCGTGGAGGTGGTGGAACCACTGAAGGACAGGACTAAGCAGGAGATTCTTAGGCCACACATAACACCTGTCCATTCCCTGCTTCCAGTTTTCCAAAATGATATCTTCACCAATGCTCCACCACTACCATCTGCCATGAGGTGAGGCAGCCACACAGGCTTTTTTCACAGCCTGCAATGTGTTGTTTGGACTTTCAGCCTCCAAAACTATTGGCTAAATAAACCTCTTTTCTTTATAGAGTTAGCCTGCCTCAGTTATTTTGCTATAATCATAAAAAGTAGACTAATACACAGGTAAAGTGCGCGGAGGTGAAAAGTGCTATGAAATCTTTTTTTTTAGCACTACAAAATTTTATACATACAAAAATTCATTTGACATGAATGAAAATGGACCATCAAGAGAATAGTCCACGACCTCAATTACAGCCCTTACTCCAGCAACCTTCACCATCACGCCTGTATTCTTAGGACTTAAAAAACATGTGCAGTTCCTAGAGTAAAAGCATAAAAAAATGGCTTTCTCTTCTCAAGCCTCTATTAAGATAAATACGCAGAATGGGTAGTAATGAGTATGTTACTAGTAAAAATAAATAAAGTAACTCTCAACTAATCGATAATACAAGCTCGATCTTCAAAATAAAAAGTGCATTCTTTGGCAGAACAAATACCAACTGAGCCCTTCCTGTGTGTGAGGGAATAGGTGATACACAGATACATGAATTCAAGGTGTGGTCTCAGACAGGGTCTCAGTATCTGCAGGAGTAACGTATGTTCGTATGTTCAAAGAACTCAAACCCACAAAATGGGTGCCCCAAACAAATTAAAGTAAGATGCTAGAGGAGGAATGAGAGCTCAATCAATTTGCAAGATTGGATAAGATCTCAAAGAATGTGAAACATTTAGTCAAAAGACCCAGTGGTCCATACGCAAAGACCTGTGAGCCCTAGCGTGGTAGTACTGGGAAGTACTATAGACCTTTAAGAGGTAGGGCCTTTGGGGGCTCCTTAGATTACTGCCAATGGGGTCCCAGTCTTTTCCTTCCCTCCTCCTGACTTGAAAGCTGTCCTTGCCAGGGACATAAACCAATGAGTTAAGTGACTTTGAGCTTGAATCTCCAGAACCAAATTGAGCCAAATTAAATCTCCCTATACTTCAAAAGCAGCCTGTATCAGGTATTTTATTGCAGTCATGCAAAGCTGACCAATACACCCTACAGCATTTGTCATCAGAATGGAGAAGAGGGGCTGGGGATTTTGCTCAGCAGCACAGCACCTGCTTGGCAAGCACAAGGTCATGAGTTCGGTTCCCAGTACTGGAAAAAAAAAAAAAAAAAAAGAATGGAGAAGAATATATGCACAGTACTGTACCATTATGCTGTAACACAGTGACAAACTGAAAACAAACCTGAATTAACCAAGGGAGAAAAACAATGGTCACGGTAGCAACTAACACCTAGTGAGCACTTATATACTTCATGTCATATATGTACTGTCTCACTTAAGCATCACACTAATATTATGAGGTAGGGACAGTTATTACCCTCATTATATAGAAAAGGAAACTGGGGTTCAGAGAGGATACTAAGTTTGCCAGTGGTCACAGATAAAAACAGCTGGACTGAAAGTTGAACTCAAGACTATCTGACTCAACTCTTAACCATGGTATCATAGTACCCTGGGAAATGGATATCTTGATAATTAAATTAGATAACACATGGAAAATACTAAGCACTATTATCTAGCATCTAAGTGCATGATACTATAATTACAGTGATAAAAAGATTTCTTAAAGTTTATTCTGATATCTCATACAAGCATATAAAAGCACCACACTGGTATTAGATCACAAATTATTGCATTGCCCCACCAGAAATTTGAAAAGTTCAAATGAAGGAAATTTAGATTTCCTTATGCATCTGTTATCCCTAGCATAAAGACAAACAAATCCCAAAGTTAGTAGGAACTGTTTTTAAAAAGTTATAAGCCAGCATATTAGCAATAGGCTAAGGGGAAATACACACTTGACCTGACATATTTCCATTTTTGGAAATTTTCTTAAAGGTAGTGAGCATTTCTTTCTGACAAAAATGATACAATGACTGTTTATAGTGACTCTAGTTATAATGACAAGCCAACCTGGTAATTCCCTCAAATGTCTCACAATAGGCAAATGGCTAAAAACTACAGCACATTAATGAGATGGAATACTCTATAATCCCGGAGTATCATGACTGACATTTCCATGTATATTTGAAAGTATATTCTAATGAGAATTTTAGAGTGAAATACTTTGGAAGGAGGGAAGCACCAGCTTTAAATGCTGATCTCTTTCCTCTCTTGGAGATTTCCTATCCTTTTGCAGTTTCCAGTGCAATCAGCCTCGGATGCACATATGTAGCCTACTGAGTAGAACACTGCATCTACCGAGGCCGCTGCACAGTCTCCTGTGTCCACTGAGGTTGTCAAAACTCCACTGCCCAGGCTTGAAATTCTGCCAATAAAATGCTGGCCAACTCTTACCAACTCCTCTTCCCTCTACAGAAGAACAGAACATCAAATTTCATTAAGACATTTTAAAAATAAATCAACAGAAGATAAGTGAAATGAGCCCATTTTTCTGCTTATTGTCAGAATTATCAAATACTAGGCATATTACACAAA